CGGTAGGGTGGAGAATACTGCACAGCTTCGTGTGTGAGGTAATGAAATAGAATTTTATACGGAGTGAGGGTGCAAAATGTTTTGATAGCCTGGTCGAGAATTGAGAGAGAGGCAGCGTCGGGCGTCGGATCGGACACATATTGGATGAGCTTGTCGTCCATGGGAAAGGAAAAATGCGACAGGGCAGATGATTTCAAGTACGATGTAACTGGGTATAGATCCGGAGTATGACCGCGTTCAATTTCGGCACTACATTGGACGAGGTAATCCAGAAGTGTCGCTAGATGACCTCGCACAGAACAGAATGTGCTCCATCGCAGCAGCGCCACCGTGGACCGGGAATAATAATAGAGGAGCTCATTATCAGGCTCCCCATCATGGTCTTGGCAGTAATCAACTAGGCGACTGAAGTCTAGTGATTCAGGGTGGTTGGAAGATTTGGGAGGCTGCACACTGGCTATGGCCCACAGAGCCTTGTAGCATGTAATCCGACGACGCCTACTGCCGTCGGGCGTCAACAGTCCACTGTCACAACTCCGGAGAAGCGCTTCGATACGGGACAGTAATTGTAGATCCGGTTGGCGCATCAGCTGCTGGATATGCTCTTCGTATGCGTAGCGTCTGCCATCTGGAGCCCATAACAAATCGGGGAGAGCCTCGACGAAGGGTTCCAGCTCGACATTGTCAGTCAAAGACTTGACAGTCCACACTAGTGCTCGATAGTCTCGAGCGGTCCGTGTGGGAGATAGCTTCATAGCACGGTGAGACGTGGCTTCGACCATAGTTTCGGTCGCGGATTTATCTAGCACCAAGTCTGATGCACTTTGTGAGACGCGCCAAACCGTGGTGGAAAGTGGGGTGCGATAGGGGCAGTCAAACTGCCACAAAGGAAGGAGGGTGAGGGCGGAATAAATGGCCACCACCACCCCCAGAAGCGCGGCGGCTACGGCAGCGACGGCGAGATTAATAGGAAAAAGGAAGGCGACGAGACCCCCGAAGAAGAAGAAGAGGGATGCATGCAGGAGCAGCGGGACGATGTCCACGACTATGTGCATGTTAAATCGCTTGAGCCCGTAATACAAGTACGAGTAGATGCGCGCGCGAATGACGGGGGAAGAGCGCATGTCTACCCTGCGCAAGAAATCACGAGCCCATTGCCCGAGGAGAGTGGCGAGGAGAGCGCAGGTTAGGCTGAATCCGAGGCTGATGAGCCACAGCACGTTACAGATGAGCGACGACGCGGCTGGGGAGAAGGGTGCTGCCACTGGTGCCGAGAATGTGCTCCCATTTGTAGACGCTGCAAGCTGTTGTGATATTTGGGCTAAGAGCAGTACAGTGTAGTCGCCAGAGTTCGGGGTGAGCATCTTACAGCTCTCAATGAGGAAAGCTGTTAAGCTGATGGAGAAAAGACCCGCCTGGATGATTTTTTAAAATCCTGAGCTCAGACTTCGATCCTGGTTCGCTAGGAAACACTTACGAATATAAGGATTCCCATCATGTCGCTTTTCCAGCCCTCGACGAGCGGTTTGTCGTATTTTTCCGCTTCGGAGACATATAACGCCCAAAGTCGCGAAGCAGCGGATTCATCGCTAGCATTTATAGCTGGGACCGTTATGGTTTAAAGAACGACCAACAAATGAGTTAAAGGGCTCACCTGGCGCAGACTTGGTAGCTTTCTTTGCATCCGACATGGTGGTAAGAGGTTAAAGAGGCTAAGCGCCCATGGAGCGATATAGCTGTGGATAGCTGTGGACAGGCGCTCAAGAGAAGATGATCACAATCATCGGAAGGGGACAAAAAATGCATTGGCAAATGAAAGTCGTAGACTCGACGTTACAAAAAAGATGCGTTGTTCGATTAATGTATCGAATACGTAGCATGGAATCTGCTCAGTCCGAGAATGTACCAGCGGCCATACTGTCCCCGCCAGATGTCGACATGGCCGCGAGTTGAGTCTGCGGCAAACCGGGGGATGGCATGGGGATGGCCTTCTGCGCAGTGCGCAGGCTGCGACACCACAAGCGTGAGGATGGATGCAGGCTGAGGCGAAAAAAAAAGGAATTTCGCTCAGACGCCAAAATGGAGCAGCAGGCGCCTATCTGTGCCCCTCTTTGAGGTTACGCGGAGTCTCGAATCGCCACCACCTGCACTAGCATTCTCGCACAGGACCACGCGACCCGCACATGTGTGAAGAGAGGGCAGAATCGCGTAGGTGAGGGAAGGCAGCCCCGCCTTCTTCATCCCCTGCCCCTCGCGTCCCGGCAAAGAGGTCGCGGGGACCGCAAGAGCCTGAGGGAGGATCATCCTCGGTCCTGTACGGAGGATCGACGGAAACGAGACGCATGAAAAGGAAGGACAGCGCCGTGCCCGGAACCAGAGGCGATCGTAAAAGGGAGACTGCCACTTCCACCAGCTGCACGAGCACCCCTGCGCGCAATGAGTCGACCAAAGGCAGCGCGCACTGAGGATGATGTGCGCCGGCCCGCCTGCGACGCCCCGCAAAGTATCCACGAGAAGACCAGCGATATGCAGCAAACGCAGGCAGCTGCGCCGAGCAGTACGTAAAGTTCGTCCCCTCCTCGCGCAAAAGGATGCGGGTCGGACGCAGTGGCACGTGTTGTCGTTCCCATCGCAGGATAGCGGCGGTCATGGAGGACCGAGGAAAGGTAATCACACAGGGCGTATCCTAACCCCCGCATACAGAACAGGGGAGGGGGCTGCAGGGGTATGTGCAGACGAGGTGCAGGGCCCAACGATGGAGAGCTGATAGTAACCACCCGCGGCCGCCTCGGTGTCGCGGACACATGGAGGCAAAGGGGTACGGGTACACTACACGCGGCGGCTACTCGTCCCCCACCCACAGCCTGAGGAGCACGAGCACGAATGCGGGCGGCTCGACGCCAGCCCAGTCTTCCTGGGTGCGAACCGACCACAACCGTAACGCCGGGGGAGACTGCGACACGGGGACGTGAAGCCGCCGCTGCTACCGCCCCTATGCGCGCGAGGACGGCGCCACGCCCCGCAAAGTATCCACCCCTGCACAGCGCGAAAGCCAGCCAGGTCTGACAGGCAGCAAACGCCGCTAGCCGCGCCAAAAAGACGACTATGAGCCGGGGGAACGCGCCTCCTATCTCCTGCATACCTCCGTCCCTCCTCCCCCTTCCTCCTCCTCCTGCGCGCAGGTGGTGATACGACATCCGGTGCGCCTGCAAAGACATTGGCAAGTACGGTATAGATCGCAGGGATGGGACGAGCATCGAAAGACCGGGGAGAAGTCCCCTAACAGATCCCGGATCGGGCGAAGTGGAGCAGAGTTAACCACCCGCGGCCGCAGCCATGCTACTCGTACGCCGCACCGCCCCCGTGTCGCGCGTGAGCGGTGACGGCGACACACACCACCCGGGGTACATGCTCATGGTCACCGCGCGGGCCGTGTCCACCGCCCATAGCTGCAGGAGCACGATGAGCACAACACGAGCCCGAGTACAGGGGGCTCGACGCGCGCGGAGACTTCCTGAGCGCGAGGCCACAACCGTAACGACGGGGGAGACTGCTCCAGGCGGGGCAAGGCGGGCGGGGACCGCATAAAGATGAATGGCCAAGCATACTGGCGCGGGTATGGTGATGGGTCACATTCAAGCTCTGTGAAGGAGTGCGTTAGGATCAGAGTATGTATGGGCGCCGCAGAAGATGGGAGAAGCAGGAATGCATATGGAGACGAGGAGAACACGACGGTGGGGATTCGGGTGTCATGTAAGAGAGCGACTAGCATACAGTAATTGGCGCGCGCGGTAAGACGCTGCCCCCGTGCGGGTCGCATGCTCCGTCGGTCCACTACGATAAGACAAGTATCCGCCACGCCAGGCACGCGATACGACGCACATCCACAGCGGGGCGCGAGGAGGGCAGGGAGGGGAGTGAAGGATAACGCACCCTGGCCTGCGATATCTCGGCGCTCCCACGTGGTCGTCCTTCGAGACGAATGATCTGAAGGGGACGGCGGTCAGCACTCAGAATGGGCGGAGGAGAAGGAGGTGGATGAGGGTGTGAGGAATGACGGGACGGGAAGGGCCTGCTGGCTGCTGCGGCGCTGATACACCGCGAGCGAAGCGGGAAAGATACACTATACATAGTATCGCCTGCCACAATGTACCGCGTAACGGCCAAGGGGGGAGGACATGGAGAGATGAAGAGAGCCTACCGCAGTAATCAGTACATCCAATCCACTACTATCCACCCCCATCCTGCATCAGAACATCCTACGCGAAGCTGCTGAGTTTCGGGGCCTAAAAGCAGAGAGGGATGTTAACATGCCTAGTCAGCCCACCAGGCTCCACCTACCATTGTATGGGCCTACCGACCTCGTACCGTGCCACTCAGCATATAACGCGGTAGGAACACCTCAGGAGGATCTAAGTATGAAGAGGGACTTCAGCACGAATACGCAAGGAAACGGCGGAGAACCTCACCAACGCATCATTCTCCATCTAAGCACCATCCGGCTTTACCTGCATGACGCACCAGGCGCTGCAGGATGAATCAAGCTGGAGCATGCGGAAGGAATCCGCGCTACAGGTCGTGCTGTGTTGTCACGTCGCCTTCGGTCTCCCGAAGGTTTTAGAACAAGCTATTGTTCGATTTTTGGACCACTTTTAGCGCCTCTTTCGCGGTTTCACGCTCTCGCTGTTGTGTGTTAGTGTCGGGGAGCAGAGCATTCCAGAGCAACAGAGTAAAAGGCCGTCGGTCTCGAGCACCGAAAGCGGCAGTGAAAGCCAGCAAGACATCGGCCAGTAAGCTTCGGGTGTAGGTCAAAGACTCGGAGACGGATATCCAACTCAGAACTCGTTTCTAGATTCGGATGGTTGATGTCTGCTTAGTCATCCGGCAGAGCCGGCAATGGCAGAGTCTGAACTTCTTTCCAACCTTTTTCTAACCTCATTTTTTTTGACAGAGCGCCTCATAATTCACTGAGACTAATGAACTCGACAGAAGGGATAAATGGCAGAGAGGCGCACGGTGTGCGTCGGGGCATCATAATATAGCTATTAGGTTACACCCCGAAGGTCCTCGTTCGACTCGAGGCTCTGCCCTTCAAGACTTCACTGCTTTTCTTTTGGGTCATTTTTTTTGGACTGCAACTGCAGCCGCTGGCGCTGGGTCTCACTACTACTATAAATATTAAAGGTTGAATCGTATCCTGAACGAAGAGGTAACTCTTTTGAGTCATTGACTCATATGGCCCCCCGAGTTCCTGAGTTTAAATTCAACCACGACGCAATCGAATTGAAAGCGTCCTCGAATTTACCAGACTAATGGGTACTCCAGGAGCGATTATAAAGGCAGGGAAGCACACGGTGTGCGTAGTCTCTCGTAGACAGACGCTTCAACAAAAGAAAGCTCGTTCCTCGTACGGTGTGCGTCGGGCCAGTATGATGTGCGAGTCTATGTCACACCCCGATGACCCTCGTTCGACTCGAGGCTCTGCCCTTGGAGGCTTTGTTGCATTTCTTTTGGGTCCTTTTTCTTGGACTGCGACTGCAGCCGCTGGCGCTGGGATCTCACTACTACTATAAATATGAAAGGTTGAATCGTATCCTGAACGAGGAGACAACTCCTTGAGTCTGAGTTCCTGAGTTTAAATTCAACCACAGCCCCAATCAAATTGAAAAGCGTCCTCAAATTTACCAGACTAATGGGTTCTCTAGGACCGATAACAAAGGCAGGGAAGCGCACGGTGCGCATCAGGGCCTATTCTATGAGCCGCAACAGAATATACAACCCAACGATCCTCGTTCGACTCGAGGCTCTGCCTTAAAAAACAATGCAAGAACAATCTTTTTTGTGTACAACGAACGAGGGTTTAGTCATGCAGCAGCCTAAGTTCCCGACTGTGAGTTCAAATTCAACCACGACCCAATCGAACTGAAAAAGTGTCCTCAAATGTACCGGACTAATGGGTGGTCCAGGAGCGATAATAAAGGCAGGGAAGCACACGGTGTGCGTCGGGCCAGTATGATCCGCGAGTCTATGTCACACCCCGACGATCCTCGTTCGACTCGAGGCTCTGCCTTATTTTGATAGCCAATCCTTTTTTCTTTTTCTTGTACAACTCGACTGCAACCGCTGCCGCTGAAATCTCACTACTACGTACGTATTCAAGGCTGAATCGTATCCAGAAACTCAGCGAGCCATGCAGCAGCCTGAGTTCCTGAGTTGAAATTCAACCACAACCCCAATTGAATTGAAAAATGTCCTCAAATTTATCAGACTACTGGGTGCTCCAGGAGTGATAATAAAGGCAGGGAAGCGCACGGTGTGCATCGGGGCCTATTCGCGGCCAGAAGGTATAACCCGACGATCCTCGTTCGACTCGAGGCTCTGCCCTAAGGCATCGAACTTCAGAAACTTTTTTCTTCTTGTACAACAGCAACTGATTCCTTCACGGTTAAATTGTACCTAGAAACTCATTGAGCCATACGTCAGCCCGAGTCCCTGACTTTCCACAACCCCAATCGAGAAAAGTGTCCTCAAATTTACCAGACTACCGGGTGCTCCAGGAGTGACAGTGAAGCACCTGGTGTACATCGAGGCCTATTCACACGCCTGAAAAGATGTATACCCCGACGATCCTCGTTCGACTCGAGGCTCTGCCCTATCCTGTCATGAGGGATTTTTCAAAACATCGAATTTTTTTCTCATACAACAGCAACCGACTCCTTCAAGGTTGAATTGTATCGAGAAACTCATTGACTCATACGTCAGCCCGAGTTCCTGACTTTAAATTCCACCCCGACCCCATTGAATTGAAAAATGTCCTCAAATTTATCAGACTAATGGGTGCTCCAGGAGCGATTATAAAGGCAGGGAAGCACACGGTGTACATCGGGCCCTAATATCTCTGTGATGCTCGGCACAATATATAACCCGACGATCCTCGTTCGACTCGAGGCTCTGCCTTATCCTGTCATGAGGGAACTTTTTCAAAACATCGAATTTTTTTCTTATACAACAGCAACTGATTCTTTCACGGTTAAACTGTGCCTAGAAACTCATCGAGACATACAGCAGCCCGAGTTCCTGACTTTAAACTCAACCACGACCTATGGCCAATCAAATCGAAAAACGTTCTCAAATGTACCAGACTAATGGGTGGTTCAGGAGCGATAATGAAGGTAGGGAAGCGCACGGTGCGCATCGGGGTCTATTCGCGATCAGAAGATATAACCCGACGATCCTCGTTCGACTCGAGGCTCTGCCCTACGTTTGCTTTGAATGTCTTTATTCATTTTTTTTTTTTCACTTCCTTGGACTACAATTGCAACCGCTACCCCTAGAATTTTAAGAGCGTATGAATGTTCAATGATTTTTATCCTGAACTGTTGAACGAGGAGACAACTCATTGAGCCATGCGGCAGCCCGAGGTCCTGAGTCTAAATTCAACCACAACCCCAATTGAATTGAAAAATGTCCTCAAATGTATCAGACTACTGGGTGCTCCAGGAGTGATAATAAAGGCAGGGAAGCGCACGGTGTACATCGGGGCCTATTCGCGACCAGAAGATATAACCCGACGATCCTCGTTCGACTCGAGGCACTACCTTATCATTTCAGGAGTTACCTTTTTTTTACATTTAATTTTTTCTTATACCGACTCTTTCAAGGTTGAATCTTATACAGAAACTCATCGAGCCATGCAGCAGCCCGAGTTCCTGAGTTTAAATTCAACCACAACCCCAATTGAATTGAAAAATGTCCTCAATTTATCAGACTACTGGGTGCTTCAGGAGCGATAATAAAGGCAGGGAAGCGCACGGTGTGCGTCGGGACAATATCTGATGGCAGGCATGTATTACACCCCGAAGGTCCTCGTTCGACTCGAGGCTCTGCCCTTGGCTTTGTTGCAGTTCTTTGGGTCATTTTCTTGGACTGCGACTGCAACCGCTGCCGCTGAAATCTCACTACTACGTAAGTATCCAAGGTTGAGTCGTATCCAGAGACTCAGTGAGCCATGCGGCAGTCTGGTTCCCGAGTCTAAATTCAACCACCACCCAATCGAGTTGAAAAAATGTCCTTGAATTTACCAGACTAATAGGTGCTCCAGGAGCAACAATAAAGGCAGGGAAGCGTACGGTGTGCATCGGGCCCTAATAAATGGTGCTGGAATCCAGAATATACAACCCGACGGTCCTCGTTCGACTCGAGGCTCTGCCCTACCATAAAGATGTGGTTTTTTTTCATTTTCATTTTGACTTTACTTGGACTACACCTGCAACCGCTGCCCCAGAAATTTTAATAGCGTATACTGTACGTACCTGTATGGAAGCAACGCCTAAAGCAGCGTGACACACCTGTTGCCTCATTTTCAGGCAACGGAACCATTGTGATAGTGACCGTTGCTTGAATAGGCAACAAGTTTTTTTTGTTTCTTTCTGACAATGTGGAGGGATTTCAACGAGATGGAGCACAGTTATTCTGTTCCAATCCTGTAATCAATGATTTACAAGCCATTCTAGCAGCTCGCAATTTTTTTTTCCGAATTTCTTTTCGCCGTGTCACGATTTTTTCAAGGCAACGGCCCCACCCGTGATCGTGACGGCGCCAAAAACAAGCAACGCAACGGCCCTATCGTGACCGTGACGGTTGCTACCGTACAGGTACGTACAGTAAATGTTCAATGTAAACCGTTGAACGAGGAGATAATTCCTCATTGACTCATACGGACCCCCGAGGTCCTGAGTTTATAGTCAACCACAACCCCTATCGAATTGAAAAAATGTCCACAAATTTACCGAACTAATGGGTGCTCCAGGAGCGATAAAAATGGCAGGGAGGCACACGGTGCGCATCGGGGCCTGATATAAAATCCGCTAGAATACAACCCGACCATCTCTCGTTCGACTCGAGGCTCTGCCTTATCATTTCACGAGTCACCTTTTTTTTAACATTTAATTTTTTCTTATACAGCAACAACCGACTCTTTCAAGGTTGAATTGTATCCAAACTCATCGAGCCATACAGCATCCCGAGTTCCTGCGTTTAAATTCAACCACAACCCCAATCGAATTGAAAAGCGTCCTCAAATGTACCAGACTAATGGGTGCTCCAGGAGCGATAATAAAGGCAGAGAAGCACACGGTGTGCATCGGGGCTATTAAAAGCCCGGATAGGACGCACAACCCGACGATCCTCGTTCGACTCGAGGCTCTGCCCTGATTTTGAAGGAAAGATTTTTTCTTCTTGTACAATTGCAACTGCGACCGCTGTCGCTGGGCTTTCACTACTACGTATAAATATTCAAGGTTGAAGGAGACAACTCATTGAGTCACGCGGCAGCCTGAGTTCCTCGTCAAACTCAACCACACACAACCCCATCGAATTGAAAAACGTCCTCGAATTTCCCAGACTAATGGGTGCTTCAGGAGTGATAGTGAAGGCAGGGAAGCACACTGTGTGCATCGGGGTCTATTCACTGAGCCACAACAGAATATACAAGCCAACGATCCTCGTTCGACTCGAGGCTCTGCCCTGAGGCGTCGATCTTCAAAAACCTTTTTTTTTGTACAACTGCAACTGCAATCGCTGCCGCGGGATTTGAGTGTTGCGTATACGTATTCCACGCTGAGTGATATCTTGATCATGAACGAGGATACAACACTTGGAGTCATGCAATAGGCTGAGTTCCTGAGTTTAAACTCAACCACAGCCATCGATTTGAAAAGAGTCCTTACATTTACCAGACTAATGGGTGCTTCAGGAGTGATAATAAAGGCAGGGAAGCACACGGTGTACATCGGGCCCTAATATTTCTGTGACACTCGGCACAATATATAACCCGACGATCCTCGTTCGACTCGAGGCTCTGCCCTACCATAAAGATGAGGCTTTTTTCATTTTCATTTTGACTTACTTGGACTACAACTGCAACTGCTGTCGCCGGGATTTGAGTGCTACGTAAAGGTCGAATCGTATACTGAACGAGGAGACAACTCCTTGAGCCTGAGTTCCTGAGTTTAAATTGAACCACAACCTAAATCGAATTGAAAAATGTTCTCAATCATATCAGACAATGGGTGCTTCAGGAGTGATAATA